TTGCCTTTTACAAACAATCTATCTTTGGGAACCCGACTTTTGAGAAGCGTGAAGCGTGTCTTAGAGCGAAGGCTGGCAGGCGGCTCCCGGGGGCTGGGAGGGGGGTCCTTGGGGGTGAGGAAAGCGGCTGGAACCAGAAAGTGGGGGCTGCACAAGGTTGTGAATCGCTCACTTTAAAATGGTTAGCTGCGTGTCACGTGGATTTCAGCTCGAAACGTACACATGTGCGTGTTCTACCCACAGACAGCGCATGTTGACTGTGCGGTCACGGCCGGGTCCCAGGGGAGGCCCCGTGGGGGAGCAGGTCCTCCGCTCTCGCAGGACCCGTGCGTGTCCTCTTAAAGAGGAAAGCGCGTTTGCTGCACGGTCCCCTTTCCTGGCTTCTCTGTTGAAACACAGAAGCGGGGGACCCGGGTGCCCCAGACTGGGGGGCGGTGGTCCGGGCGCCTCGTCTGTCTCCACGGCCCCAGCTCGTCCACGCGGCTGAGCACTTAGCAGCCCTGAACCACTCGCCCCCCACTTTGGGGCCTAAACTCCCCCATGGCCTCCCCAGCAGGGGCCGACCTCCGTCAGGCGCCCCACCTGAGGGCCCATCGTCCTGCCCGGGACGCTGAGCCCCTGCAGCGAGGGAACCAGCCCCACCAACCCAGCACCACCGGGACTGGCACCCTGCACTCCCACGAGCAAAACGGGGAGACCCTCTCCTGACCAACATTGGGGCCCTACCAGGAGCCCTCTTTCCAGAGTCCTGGTCACCTTCGAATCGCAGGGCCACCCCTGAACTTGGGGCACTGCTGGAACCTGGGCTCTGGCCACCAAGAGGGCCTGCCGGGCCCCAAATGTCAGAGAGGGTACACCGACCGACGCCATTCTCAGGCATTCTCCCAGGGCAGGACCACAGGACCGTGAGCGGTCAGGGGCTGCAGGCCTGGGTGGGCGGGCGGTGTGGGGATGGGGCTGTTCTCTATCATGGTTACGGTGGCAGCCATCCAATGCAAGCTCCGGTGAAGACGCAGAGGAACAGACTTCCCTGCGCGTGAGCTGCGCCGCACACCAGGCCGAGGGGAAGGGAAACCGCATGCAGAGACATAACCAACACAGCGGCTCCCAGGAGTCATGGCGCAGGCAGATGCAGACTCCTGGGCGCCTCTGGGGCTAGCCAAGTCTTGTATCCCACACAGGTCCCAACCACGAGCACAGGTGACTTAGTGGGACAAGCCCGGTGTCACCACAGGGTCCCATGGAGACACCCGGCACGGAAACACTCAGACATGCAGCCTGCCTTTGGGGCTGGTGCTGGGAGGTGGCCCCATGGAGCCAGGGATGATGGCCGGGAATCCCAGGGCTGGAGCCGTGAGAAGAGAGTCCCATGGGGCCAGGGTCCCCAGAGCCCCCTTCGTGAGAAGGACACCATCTTGGCAATGTTACCATCAGTCCTGGGTGGACCAGTGTCCCCAGAACCCATGTCCACCTGAACCTGAATGTGATGTTCTAGAAGCAGAGTCTTTGCAGATGAAATCGAGGTGAGATGAGGGCACACTGAATGAGAGGGGGCCTTAACCCTGGGACGGGTGTCCGACAAGGACGGAGGGATTCAGAGAAGGCCAGGTGGCCGCGGAAGCAGCGACTGGGGTGATGCTGGCACAGGCCGAAGGCCTCCGAGGACGCCGGCAGCACCAGGGCTGGAAAGGCGGGGAGCGCGGCCGCTGGCACCGCAGCCAGACTTGGAGCGCAGGTTTCTGTTGCGTTAAACCCCGTTCGTGGAAACGAGCACATCGACCGACAGCCGAGTCAACACCCGGCCTCCCAGCCCTCGGGGAGGGGAGCTCAGGGCCTACACGGGCTCCTGGCTGGTCCTGTGACTGACCTGGGTCTGAGGATGTGGGCTTCGCCACCTCAGGCGTCACACCAACATGACACTATTTAAACCCACAGGTGTGCGGCGGGCTAGCTTCTGGAACGTGCTCGCCACTGAACTGCAGGGAAACTGCTCCAACGTCCAGTCAGAGCTTCCGAACCTGAGAGAGGGTTTCGTGCCCTTCGCATGGACCGAGTTGCTTTTCCCCAGGGCTGACCCCAACACGCAGCTTTTGACCAGACGTGTTGGGGTCAGCCCGAGTTCAGGGTGTGTCCTTATGTGTCCACCTCCACAACCTTGTTTTCAGTTTTATTTTTAATCAAACAGAATGCCAGTCTTGTCACGAGTCACCGTGGGATCCAAATTCATGAGCGGACTCGGCTGAGTCACATTTGGGGGAGGGTAACCATTAATTATTAGCTGTAAGAGGCTGGCACACACCACCCACCCAAGGCCTCTGTGAGCTCAGAAAACCCAGGTCGGTGATGTCCCACGTGGTCCGCCAAAAGCAGCTTCATGGGACTGTCCCCTAAGGCGTGCCCATCGGTGGGTGGTCTCAGGCAGGACTTTCGGCGTCCGTGGGAATATCAAGGAGCCAGGCACAGACCTGGGCCGGAACCCACTGTGCTCGGCTCTGGGCAGTGATGCCGCCCATGAGACTGTGGTCCCCTGAATGCGTCCCCCCCGCGCTCCTAGAATCGTGACAGCCTCTCACTCCCTCCATCCAGAGGACGCGAGTCACGTTGTAGGTCCCCCATTGGCAAAGGACCCTTGTCTGCTGGACGAGGCGGGGCCTAGACACTGGACTCCAAGCTGCATAGTATGTTTCGAGGGGTTCGAGGCCTGGAATACAAATCCACGTCAGGAAGGACAAAGCACAAGGCCAGACTCTCAGACGCGACACGTGATCGACTGCAATCGTAAAGTCTGCGAAAGGGAGAATGTGCTGTGACAAAGACAAAACCGGCTGAAGAATCGCTCAGGTCGCCTCCTGCCTCATGAGTCTACACAGCAGAGAACTAAACAAGATGAAACAACCCACTCTTCACCGATAAACTCATCAAGGAGTCCTTGCCTGTAGTCGAAGAGGAATACAGGTGAAAACGTGTATGTGTGCGTTATCTTACATGTGTAACGCACGCAAAAGTATGTAAAACATATTTACATTATACATCACCGTGTGAAGATTGCATTGCTTCCTCTAAGGTGTCGCTGAGAACTCTGACGCTCCGGCATGAGTGCGCCGAATCTCAACTGGTCCGCCCGGGACCCCGGAGCCCCGACCCCTGTCCCCTGGTGGCCCAGATGAAAGGAACGTCGAAGCAGGAGAAACTGCCAAGCTGCAGGCACGCGCGCTCCGGTGGGAGCAATCAGAGACCGCCGGGGCAGTCCCTCAGAGAAGCGGGGCGAGCAGACTCTCTGGAACTGGAGGCGGCTGCTGACAGACCGAAGGCAGCGACACATCTTAAAGACCCAAAATGCAGCACCTCGAGCTCACAAGGCACGCGGGCCACGAAGGGGCCCAGTTGGCAGCATCTTGAGCCACCGCAGGGCAGATGGTTGGACAAGCTTCGGAGAGCTTGGCGCCCTGGGGATAGCCGGCAGTTGGGCAGGAGAGGGAGGTGCCCCGGGACCGGTGGGGAATGCGGCCCAGGCCTCCCAGGAGGAAGCTGAATGGAGGCTGATCAGAAAGGGGTGAGCTGACGTCCCCGGGATGCCTTGTAAGGCGTCCTTCCCAATGTTTGCCTACACACGCCTCCCCGTCTTCTGCAGATAAGCTGAAGGAGCCTGGGGAGGAAGTTCCAAACAAGGATTCCCCGTAAAATCTCTTAGTGTGAAGCATCCCAGGCCTGCAAACTCTGGATGACACACCCCCAAGCCCCACGCGCCCTGCTGCTTCTCTTGACCCAACCGGGCGTGTTAGGGAGCCTGCTCACCCGGGCCTGTGAAGAGTGAGCAAGTGCAGCCGGGCAGGACCAAGGCTGTGCCCGCCCGGCCACGTCTGCTCTGCAGCCACCGTGGCGCCCGGTGACAGTGTGTTGTGAACTGGGCAATGTGAAACTCGGGTGCCGGGCAGGTGGAGGGGAGCAGAACTGTGAAGCGGGAAGTGCCAGAAGCATCGATACGGTTCCGAAGTGAAACATGTCTTTAAAATAATACCAATAATGGTTCCAACTTCTTATCGTTTTTCATAATCTCTTTTCTTAACCCTAGAGGAAGCTTTCGGCAAATTAAAAACCCAGGAGGGCACATCTGTGACATCAATTCTTTCCCGCAGAGTCTCAAACCAAGCTGATAGCAAAAGCTTTTGTGGAAGGTATCTTTTAGCCCAAATCCTCCCTGTGTCAAGGAAAAACTTGAGACGAAAGCATTAACTTTAGAAGAAAGCATTGTTTTCAGAAGTCCATAGTTCAGCACGTACCAAAAAGAAAGCAATGCAGCAGATGCACAGCCAAGCCCTTGTCCAAACCACCCAGAAAGATGTTTACAAACATTTCTTCCACGTTCCTGTTTGCCGCACATTGCTCACCTGCTAGAGAATGCAAAGTGGTCCACAGCTTGCCCCTCAACACACGAGGTTAAGGCCGCAACGTGCTTTATTTGTGCTTTATTTGTGCTTTACTCCTTCACGCCCACTGTGGCCCCTCCCGTCACTGAGCCTGCCCTGAGCACCCAGCCCAGGAGGAAACAGCCTCTGCCCTCCTGGAGCCTCAACTCCTGGGCAGCACTGCCCAGCAGAACTGCCAGTCTGTGCTTTCCGATAGGGCAGTCACTAGCCACGTGTCGCTGTTGGGCACTTGAAACATGGCTAACGGAACTTAACTGTATTTCATTCTAACTACTTTAAATTCACAAAGCCTCATTACTGTGGACAACAAAGTCCTAGAATCTATCATAATGCGCATTTTCATGAGACCTCCAGGTGGCTTCTGTCTACTTTGGTTGAGAATGAGTCTAGATTCTCATCCTTGGCTTATGATAGGCATAAGGCTTATGCCTATCATCTCAAACTCTCCCCAACTGTCTCCCCTAGGCCACTCGGGTGTTCTGACTCCGCAGACCATCTTTCCTCTTCAGGTACGCTGACCCCACGTAGTCCTCCCAGGGGCCTGCCTCAACCTTGGCCCTTCAGGGATGCCGTACACCTCTGCGGAGTGAGGCAAATGCTCTCCTCCTCTGCCCAGGTGCAGTTTATCTCCTGGTGAGCCCCCCCACACCACCTCCACCCCCAGACATTCTCCCTGTGCACTGTCTTTTAACTCTGCCACGCCTGGTCAGGGCCCGAAGCACGCCCAGGCTCCTCCAACATCAGAGCCCACTCCCTGGGCAGCCCTCTTCTGCCGTCAGGAACCAGACTGCAAGCCCAGGAGACAGGGGCTTGCACCCCTGAGATGACAGCTACAAGGTGATCGCGCTGGGCTTTCTTCCATGGCCTCTGAGTCTGGGTCACCACGGCAGCAGTGGAAGGTGGAGACCCTGACTCCCGTCTGTGCCTGCCACCCCCTACCACAGCCCAGGTTCCCGCCCAGCGCGCTTTCCTCTCCTCTCCCCCTGCCCTCTCCCTCGCTTTTTCTCTCTAGATTGTGGGTCTCAAATTTCAAACTTAGCACCCCCCACCCGCATTCTCCTACCCTGCCCGCTGTGCTGCTCTGGCCCCCCTCCACCTGGAAGCCAAACCCTCCTGCACCTCCTCGGCCGCAGAGTCTCGAGGGTCGCTTGGGTTTCTTGCCCTCCCAGGCCTGTCCACCAGGGCGAGGAGCGCCTCCGGTACTCCGGGAACCCTGGAGAAGCCTCCGGACCAATCGTCTTGTATCTTGGCTCCCTCCGGCTCCATCCTACTCACGCGCAGAGCCGCCACCTGGCAGCCTGCGCCCGCTGCGCTCAGTCCCACGCTCTGATCTGCTCCCGTCGACGCCGCACCCCCACGCGCTCTTTCCAAATGCGTCGCGCTCACGCGGGCCTTCCTGTGGGCCCCACCCCAAACCCCGGCTGCGTGGTCCCCACCTCTCCTCCGCCTCGCACTCACCCCCAGGTCGGGAAGACTGCCTCCCCTGCCCAGACGCTCGCTCCCCCCCGCGCGCTGGCCGCGGCGAGAGGATGGAGGACGCGCCTCTGTGCCCGCGCCAGGCCCCCCACGAGAAGCCTGGGTCACCCACGTGTGGAACGGGGTTGTCGCCGGGGGCGCCGCGTAGTGCGGGGCTCTCCCGTTTTTTTTTCAGGTCTGCCCGCAGTCTTGCGCTTCCTGCAACTCCAGCCCCGCACCCACGGCCTCGCGCTCACCCGCCGGGTGGCCGTACGGAGACTCGGCCGCGCCGTCCTGCAGGCTCGCCAGGATCTCGCCCTTGCCCACGTCGCTGTCGCCCACCAGCAGGAACTTGAGCAGGAAGTCGTAGGCGCGGACCGGGCTGCCCACGGCGCTCATGGTGCGACCGCCGGCGCCCGCGCCCATGCCCGGCCCCGCAGCACGGCGCAGAGGTGGCGGCGGGAGCCCTGGACTCGGGGACCCGCTGTTCGTGGATCTCCGCCGCCCCGCGCGCCCGCCACCTGACAGCGCGCGACCCCGCCCCACTCCGCCATTGGCCGGCCGCAGTTGCTAGGGAAAGCTGTGCCTTTTCATTGGTTGGGCTGCCCGTCCATCTCGCTTTCGTCTCCGCCCCTAGGCCGACGTCCACCCGCGAGGATTCTGCCTTGCACCCAATGCCGGACGGGAGGCGGCCCCATGGGTGGGACCGAGGGCGGTGACACTGCAGCCACAGCCAATGCAGGTCCGGAGGCGGGGTGGGGCGGAGCCAGAGGAGGCAGGGGTGGGGTCGCTGCGCCCCCAGCCGTGCAGGGCG